TACTCTATGTAGCATTTCCAATTGGATTTTTTTGGGGGGACATAGTGACCATTTGTGATGCCATGTCTATCTCTAAAAGTGAAGCACAATACTATCAATATGGTCAAAATCACATGTGCACTCACTATGATGAACGGATGAAAGGGAAGAAAGTTTTACAGATTTTTTTTTTCTTTTTATTATTTGAGAGAGAGAATGAGATAGAGCATGAGAGGGGGGAGGGTCAGAGGGAGAAGCAGACTCCCTGCTGAGCAGAGAGCCCGATGCGGGACTCGATCCTGGGACTCCAGGATCATGACCTGAGCCAAAGGCAGTCGCCTAACCAACTGAGCCACCCAGGCGTCCCGGGAAGAAAGTTTTAATAGGACTCTAGATGTATGCAAACATATGCCAAGACGGTTACCAAGGGGACTGCACACATGTTGGCAATAATGAGACAGCAGAGGATGAAACCATTGGTTTTCTCCCTTGACTACTGATTAAAATAATGATGGCCAGATCTTCACCCGCTGGAGATTTTGTTCTAATTGTTCTGGAGAGAGGTCCAGGCAGCAGTATTTTTTTTTTAAGTTCTCCAAGTGATTGTAATGTGCAACCAAGGTTAAGTATCATTGTTCTATAGCAGTGTTTCTCATATTTTAGGGTATATTCAAAGCACCTGGGGAATCTTCTTAATCTGCACATTGTGACTCAGTCCATCTGTGATGGCACCTGAGAATCTGACTCCTAACAAGCTTTAAGGTGATGCTAATGCTGCTGTCCATAGATCACACGTTCAGTAGCAAGGAATTAGGTCATCACTAGCCACAATCTTTATGCAATTTCACTGGTTCTAAGATCTTAAAGTACGTAAGTATCACCTGGGAGCTAAAGAAACAGGCAAATTTGCAAGCTCCAGTCTCAGAAATTAAAATTCAGTGGATCTTAATTTTTAACAAGTATCCCAAGTGATCCTGAAATTCATAGTCTGAAAACCAAGTATACGCTAACCACCAGAAATGCTATTTATTTTACAAATCACATTTTTTAAAAAGGTGGCAGCATTAATTTCACAAACTAACCAGATGTGGGGAATTTTTTCTCTTCTTCTAAGTGTGAGAAATTACCCCCATATTCAGTGGCTTAAATTAACAACAACTTTATTATATCTCATGATTTTGTGGATCAGAAATTTGGGTAGAGATCATCTGAGTGATTCTCCTGCTCTCCCCGTCACTGACTGAAGTCACTTTGTGGTATCCAACTAGCAAATAGGCTGGTCTGGAGAGGCCAAAATGGCTTCACTTCATGTGCCTTGGCTGGAAGGCTGAGTCCTACTGGGACTGTTGCCTATAATGTCCACACATTACCTCTCCAGTCTGGCAATCTCAGGTGAGGTAGTAGGTCTCCTGATGTAGCAACTCGAGGATCCAAGAGAGAGAGTTCCAAGAGACAGGAAGTGGACGCAGCCATTCTCTCAGGTCCTGGGCTCAGAAACATAGAGCCGTTTTTACCATAGTCTACTGGTGAAAGCACTCACTGAGCCCAACCAGATTCAAGGGGAGGAGTCATAAACAGGCTGGAGTCATGGATGTGCAACTCTTGAAGAACCCCAAGTGCTCAACACAAAAAGGACCCCATGCTTGGTTTAATGCTCTGTTGCCATCTTGAAATTCTTTATAATTTTTTAATAAAGGGCACTACATTTTCATTTTACACTGGATCCCACAAATTATATAGCCCATCCTCATCATAAACTTCACCTTTCAATGAAAGTAGTGTTAAAAAAAAATTGTAGTCAGGGACGCCTGGGTGGCTCAGTCAGTTAAGCGTCTGCCTTCAGCTCAGGTCATGATCCCAGGGTCCTGGGATCGAGCCCTGCATCAGGCTCCCTGCTCAGCGGGAAGCCTGTTTCTCCCTCTGCCTGCTGCTCCCCCTGCTTGTGCTTGCTTGCTCTCTCTCTCTGACAAATAAATAAATAAAATCTTAAAAAAAAATTGTAGCCAGAAGCTGTCTGTCAGAGACTTTATTCCTCACCATACTTCTGTATTCAAAGCTATCCTTTCAAAATGCAGATTGTGGTATGTGCATTAAATTTAGCATAAAGAAGGGAAACAAATTATGAGGTTGGAAATTAGACTAAACATTAGACTAAATTCTGTGATGTTTTAGGATTAGGAAATACATGGAAAACCAACCACACTACCATCCTGAGTAACAGCTAGCACTCTAGATTGGATCACCTCTGGGCTCACCCAATTAGGTCACTTAGGCATTAACCAACAGTTATCCAAGGTCAGTATGCAAGCTGAACTTATACATAGTGTCCCTGATGAGAAAGGCAGCTAGTAATCACTATATAGGGAAAATTCTCCATGATCTCAGCAAACCTGGATTTGTGTTTTGGGGCAACTGCAAAAACTATTTAAAGGTTATTAAGGGGGACGCCTGGGTGGCTCAGTCAGGTAAGTGTCTGCCTTCGACTCAGGTCATGATCCCAGGGTCCTGGGATCACGTCCTGCATTGGGCTTCTTACTCAGTGGGGAGCCTGCTTCTCCTTCTGTCTGCTGTGTGTGCACGTGCTCTCTCTCTGACAAATAAATAAAATCTTGTTTTAAAAATAAAGGTTATTAAAGAAGGCAGTGACGAGGGCGCCTGGGTGGCTCAGGTCATGATCCCAGGTCCTGGGATCGAGTGCCACATCGAGCTCCCTGCTCAGCAGGAAGCCTGCTTCTCCTTCTCCCACTCCCCCTGTTTGTGTTCCCTCTCTCGCTGGGTCTCTCTCTGTCAAATAAATAAATAAAATCTTAAAAAAAAAAAAGAAGGCAATGACTATTCACATGCTTTTTGAGAACAGGACTGTATTTAACATCTCTTTGGGTCATCAGTATTTCGTTTTCTGAAACATTATGTTTTCAGTAGGAGTTCAATAAGGGTTGCTGGGATGAATCTAAGCAACAAATGGCATAACAACAATAACAAAAACTACCAAAAAAACAAGATTGATAGACACAATAATGGAGAACAAGGTCAGGAAAACAGTTAAGTACAGATGCATATAGTAGGCAAGGATTATCAAACTGAAATTATTGATGTGATAAACGCAAAAGGTATAATTATCCGGGGAAAGTTTCTTAGAGAAGGAAGATAGATATTGAAAGAGATGGGGATTGACAGACAGTACTGAAAGGAAATAGAAACCATATTGGTATGAGGAGAAAATCAGCTTGACTAGGCTGGAGTAACATGGGTAGAGGGATGTTACTGGATAGATGAGAAGTGGGGAAAGGAGAGACTCATTGCTTTGGGGCACTCAATACCAGGCTGCAGTATCTGAATTTACTCCACAAAGTGTGGGAAGTTTAGTGTAGTTTGTTACTGGTTTAGAGGGAATGGTGATGGCTTTTATTTTATTATGCAAGCCTAATAATGGAAGTCTTCAACTGAGGTACATTCTAAAGGAGGTGCAAGATTAAGATGCAGAATTTTGCAAAAGAGGTAGTCAGAAACCTGGTAGATGATCCTTAAAGCATTGATCCACACTGAGAGTACAAGAATTGAAAGAGATCAGGGGACTTTATTATTTTTAAAGATTTATTTACTTATTTTTAGAGAGAGAGAGCATACCTGCGTGCAAGTGAGCAGGGGGAGGGGCAGAGGGAGAGGGAGATAAGCAGACTCCCCACTGAGTGAGAAGCATGACGCGGGGCTCCATCCCAGAACCCTGAGATCACGACCTGAGCCAAAATCAAGAGTTGGACGCTTAGCCAACTGAGCCACCCGGGTGCCCCCAGAAGGGACTTTAAAAGGGAGAGAATTCCTGAGATACTGTGATAGTGGGAAAGTTCCTTAATCTCAGGAGACAACCTGAAGACTTAATATACATCTCCTGGAGTTTAAAGAATGTAATGGCCTGATGTCTGATTCCCTCCTGATGAAAATCTAAAGGGTAAGAGAAAGGATGACTAGCTACTTTGATGGAGAATTGGCCTGCATTCCCAGAATTCTTCAGAGCAAAGACTGTGTTGTGTTTCCTACTGTGGTAGATGTTGTGATGACCAAAAGACTTGTTCCTCCGGCCACTGGAAGTGATGCCAGCAAGCAGCCCTCAACCATCAGTCCCCATGGGGGTTGTTTTGGCTGAAGAGAGTTAGCTGATGTCTTGCTGGTAAGAGGGTATAAAGCCCCAGCCCTGCACCCCAATTTAGGACAACTGTGCAGCATCATCCCAGCTTCAGAACTCTCTGAAGATTGGCTGAGGCCTCCATTGAGACTGCAGCAAAGCTCAACTTCTGCTGCTATGCAAACGTGCTTCTTTTCCTTTCCATAGGTGTTGATGCCAAGGGTACTCCCTAATAAACATCTTGCATGGTTATCTCCATCTCAGAGTCTGCTTCCCAGGAAACCTGACCTGTAACACCTGTGGATCAGATGTGGGCCTCACGGGCAAGTGAACCAGTGGATTATCTTGAATCTGAACAAACATCAGCAGAGAGGATGCTTAATGTATCACTGGATTCCTTACAGCTGGTGAGGGAGGGAGCAACAGCCTGAATAGAGCCACACTGGTGTGGGTCAAGGGAAATGAAGATTGCAAGTTTTCAGTTATGACGGGGAGAAGGGTCTTTGAAGAACTTACAAAAGTACCTATGAGAGAAAAGGCCAACTTTAGCAGTTTACCAAGTCCAAAGAGCACCAACATCCAGTTCACAGGAGTGTCAATCAAATAAAGCCTTTCCTGTCCTCTCTCCCAGGCCTCCAAACCTGGAGAGGCTAGAAGCCCAAGTTAGGTGCAGGTCCAAGAACACAAGACAGGGTAAGAGAAAAGATGTCAACACCACTCCTCTGACTTTAAAGTCTAAAACACTTTCCCCATCTTTTAAATGTTTTCTTATTACGTAAAGCCGACCGTTGCCCCAAATAACTGTAATACTCTTTCCCTTTATTTGGTGAGATGTCCCACAGTTCCCCGATGTGTGGCCTCCAGAGTCCACTGCTACAAGAAGTCAAAAAAACCTCACCTTGTCTAAAGATTGTCCCTCGTGGTCTCAGGCTGTAAAGTCTAAAAGCTTTTTCTTATCTTGCTGGTCATTCCAACTACTTGCATACTGAGAGATACGTAGTGAGAGGCACACAGCAGCAGCTCAACACGTTTCTCAGATTTCCCAACTGCCGTCAGAGAAGAGCGCTGGGTCCGGGGCGGCAGCGGGACAGAAACAGCGGCCGCGAAGGTGAAGCAACCCGGGACCCAGGCCAGCGCTCACTCTGAGGAACGCGCCCGTCAGGGGGCCTCGGGCTGGGTAGAACCGGCTGAGAGAGGCCGTGGGCACTGTCGCCCGTGGCCCCGGACTTAATGCAGTAGTGGTCTCGCACGTGCGGCCGCCCCTCTACTCGCTCTGTCCCGCCCCGCCCCACCCGTCGCGCCCGCCCTGCGCTCCGCCCCACCACCCCGTCGTATTGCACCCGCAGTACTGCTCTGCCCCGCCCCGCTCCGTCCATCCTGCCCCGCCCTCCTTGCTCTCTGTCCCGCCCCGCCCTGCTGTCCCGCCCCCTCCATCCTGCCCCGCCTACCTTGCGCTCTGTCCCGCCCCGTCCTGCTGCCCCTCATCCATCCCGCCCCGCCCTGCTGTCCCGCCCCTCCATCCTGCCCCGCCTACCTTGCGCTCTGTCCCGCCCCGCCCTGCTGCCCCTCATCCATCCGCCCCACCCTCCTTGCTCTGTGTCCCGCCCCTTCCTGCTGCCCCGCCCCACAGTCGCGCCCGCCCTGCGCCCCGCCCCACCCGTCGCGCCCGCCCTGCGCTCCGCCCCACCACCCCGTCGTACTGCACCCGCAGTACTGCTCTGCCCCGCCCCGCTCCGTCCATCCCGCCCCGCCCTCCTTGCTCTCTGTCCCGCCCCGCCCTGCTGTCCCGCCCCCTCCATCCTGCCCCGCCTACCTTGAGCTCTGTCCCGCCCCGTCCCGCTGCCCCTCACCCATCCGCCCCACCCTCCTTGCTCTGTGTCCCGCCCCTTCCTGCTGCCCCGCCCCACAGTCGCGCCCGCCCTGCGCCCCGCCCCATCCGTCCCGCCCCGCCCCGTCTCGTTTGCCGCGTCCCGCCCCCTCCTGGTACCCCGCTGGCTAGTAGGGGCGGCCACAGGCGTAATGGGGACCGCCTCGTCGCTCGTGAGCCCCGCGGGCGGGGAGGTGATCGAGGACACTTATGGGGCGGGCGGCGGCGAGGCCTGCGAGATCCCGGTAGAGGTGAAGCCCAAGGCCCGCCTGCTGCGCAGCTCGTTCCGCCGTGGCGCGGCAGCAGCGGCGGCGGGGGCAGGGCCCGGGTCGCTGCCCCGCGGGGCGGGTGGCGGCGGGCTGCTGGGGGCTAGCTTTAAGTCTACCGGCTCGTCCGTGCCCGAGCTGGAGTACGCGGCGGCTGAGTACGAGCGGCTGAAGAAGGAATACGAGATCTTCCGGGTCAGCAAGAATCAGGAGTTGCTGTCCATGGGCCGCCGCGAGGCCAAGCTGGACACGGAGAACAAGCGCCTGCGGGCCGAGCTGCAGGTAACGCCGCGCTCGGGTGCGCGCCTGGGGCAGCCGGGACGTGGAGGAGCTGAGAGTCGGGAAGGCCGGTGCACGCCCGGGCGCTGCCAGGCTGGACTCTGGACGCCTGACTCTGCCCTTCGTCCATCCTGTCCCCTCTGCAAACCAAGTAGTTTTGAAAGTTGAGTAGAAACCGCTCTGCATTTTAATTTGAGGGGACATGTTTCTTGGGGGTCTAAACTGATTCCTTAACTAACCCCGCCCCTCTTCTATTTCTGGTTCGTTCATTCACACACCGCGAAGCAATTAGCCTGAAAGTGTCCTGAAGCAGCAAATGCCAATCAGCAGGGGACTCCAGGGAAGTAGGTCAGCCCAGAGCACACGGACACACAAAAGACTATGGTGACATCTGTCGAAGCAACTCATCAAACTTTCCCTAGGAGTTTTTAACTCCACTCCCCGCCTCCCCCCTTAAATTTTACATACCTCTCAGTTTCTTTGCGTGAAGCTTTTGAGTTTTAATGATCTTGAAGTGAATTTTTATGAAATGATTTTCACCATTTTAACTGCTGTGATTGAAAACGTTCCCTAGGTGTAGTCAAATTACCTTAATCCATTTGATTAATTTACTCAAAAAACAATTATTGCGTGGGCTCCCTGTAGTAGATGTATTTTGACTATCAAAATAGTATATAAAGCAAAAGGTTCCTTTTCTATGACCACAGTTGTAAGACTCTGTGCCATCAGTTTGGGGACTCTCTGAGGGTTGTGATTTTACTGTTTTGTTTTTTTAAACTGTGGAAGAGACACCCCAGGTGTTCCTGGGTTCATCACAGTTAAAATGAATAAATACCTCAGACTGATTTTTCTGATAGGAAGAGCCTTCTTCCTTCTAGACTAGGCATTCTAGTCACCCCTCCCCCACTAGCTGTTGTATTATTAGACTGTAATCTGGGAAGAACTCCTTATCAGCAGTCTACCTTTTGTCTTACCAGTTTTCTTACTGGGCAGTCTTGATGCCCTTGCATGTGAAAAATGGACCTGATGCATTTCAGATACCTGATTTCATGCTCCCAAGCCATTGTCCAGTGGACACTGCACATTATAGGGATAGGAAAAAGGGCTGGATCAACCAGGGCAGAGTGCAGTAAGAGCTGACAAATGTCACAGTCTCAGGTTCCTCCTGTTACCTTATGGAGTAGTTTTGAAAGTTAAATAGAAACCACTCTGCATTTTAATTTGAGGGGACATACTCTCTTGGGGCCTAAACTGATTTCTTAACTAACCTGCCCCTTTTCTTATGTAGCCCTTTTGATTCCTTTCTCACATATCTAGGCATTAAAAAACTCTTCTGTATTTATTTAACCCATTCATTCAGTCAGACATTTACTGGAGGCCTTCAATGTATCTGGCACCAAGAGGGCTCTGGGATAGCAAAATGAAGAAGACATGGAGCCAAGGAGTGCATGGTTATGCAGAATTAATTATCCCTCAAGTTAAGCCTTATAAATTACACTTTCTGTTCTGTTAAAGATAGGAAAACTGAGGCATGGGAAGATTAAGAATTTGGCACAGTATTTCAAAGAAAAAGTATTAATTTCTATTAAAAGTTTAGTGTTGAAGTGTCTTCATTTACTACAGTTCAAGCATATTTGCATTTTTTTTCATTCCATGTTTGAATAAAATGGCAATATGTAGTTCTTGATAACATAAAATAGTAGATTATTACAATTCTGAGATATGTATATAGTATGTAGCTAGGATAATGTGAAATTTGGAAGGAATACTATTTTTGTTAGAAATAACAAGGTCCATTATTTCAGGCCCTTCAAAAAACTTATCAGAAAATACTTCGGGAAAAGGAAAGTGCTTTAGAAGCAAAATACCAAGCAATGGAGAGGGCAGCGACATTTGAACATGACAGAGATAAAGTGAAAAGGCAATTCAAGGTAAATTCCTTACATTTTTACCCCCAAAGTGACATAGAATAAAAACAGCATATTTTAAAAGTTTATATAATGCTGCATAGATAAATAGAAGTGAATGATGTAGGAGCCCTGAAGGTTCTAAGAACCAGAGTAGAGCACTTCTTACATTTTTGAGTTGGACCTGGTAAACTTGAGATCGCTTCAAGGAAGAAGTTTAAAAAAGTGAATATTGCAATAGGAAAGTATTTCCATATGGGGGGAAAGGCATTTGGAAATATTTGGGGATATTTTGTATGGGAAGGCATTATTGGCATCTAGTGGGAGGGGGACAAATTTGCTAAATATCAGCAGTGCACAAGACAGCCCCACACCACAGACAGGGCTCCTGCCAGAATTCCAGCGGGTTCCAGTTAAAAAAAGATCAGGACCAAATGAATATTGGTTTTATGAATGAAAGATTTTTCTATTGAGTTGATGACACAACCTTTTGATTGTGGAAAAGGTTTCAAAATTGATATTTGTCTTTTAAAGATTTTTAGGGAGACCAAAGAAAATGAAATCCAGGATTTACTGAGGGCTAAGCGAGAGTTGGAGAGCAAACTTCAGAGGCTCCAGGCTCAGGGCATCCAAATATTTGATCCTGGAGAGTCTGATTCAGATGACAACTGTACAGATGGTACTGGTAAATTTACTTCCTATGTATAATATTTTGAGCCTTCAGTATAGGTGTAATGATATCGTAGAGCCAACTTTGAATCCTTTTATAAGTTACAAGTGGTTGCTCTTACAAATAGAGTTGCACTTTCTCCCTCTCTCTCAGCTGTTACAACAGCAATTTTCCGTAAAGTCCACGACATTGTTAGGTGCCAGGTTTCCTTCTGTCTTAATTGCTCTGCCAAACTCACCCCACAGCTTTTCTCTTTCTGGTGTAGGACAGCTCCTCCAGGTCTCACCATGACATCTACATTTTAGCCAAGGGAAGAGGAAAGGGAATCCTTTCCTCTCCTTGAAAGCACACTCTGAAAGGTATACAGATTACTCCTCAAACCCCATTGGCCAGAACTACAAGCAGGAAGACTAGAAAGTGTAAACATTAGTAGGAGAGTCATGTATCCACCTAAAGTTTGAAATTCTGTTACTAAAGGTAGAAGGGGAGGATGGGTATTGGAGGGACAGTTCATAGTCTCTGTCACCTTATTTTTCCACATAATGATCTATTCTTTGCAACTATCCATTAGAATATCTACATGATATTCCTCTGAGTGGCTTCCATTGCAGTTTTGTAAGCTACTCAGAAAGTTTTTATTTTATAATTAAACATATAAAATACGTTTTTTTCTACAAATAAAGAAAAGCCTGGAGTCCTAGAATGAAAGGGGCTCCCGTGTTCCAAGAAAATATTAATAAACTGTGATTGATACTGAAAAATGAAAAAGATTCTATTGTAAATGCAGTGTAAAAATGCAGTCTCTCATTTATAGGAAACTGCATTTTATTCTTTTTTTTTTTTTTGAGAGAGAGAGCATGCTAGCAGGGGTTGGGGGGAGCTATGGGCAGAGGAGAGAGAGAATCTTAAGCAGGCTCCATGCTCAGCATGGAGCCCAACTCAGGGCTCGATCTCATGACCCTGAGATCTTGATCTGAGCCGAAATCAAGAGTCCAGTGCTTAACAGACTGAGCCACCCAGGTACCCCATGCATTTTATCTTACAAACTGATTTTGAAGTAAAATACGGCAACTGATAATTGCCTCTTAATTTGCATTTTAGAACCACTGGAGTCTGACCAGCATCCAAGGATTTTTATTACCAACTTTTGAGGGGAAAAAAAATGAAGTAATTCTTACTGGATTTGAGTGGCTAAGAGGATGCTCTTATGCCCCCACATTCATCTTAGTGGTTATTTCAGTGTTGACATATGTTAAAATGTACAGTGTTTCCAAACTATTATATTGTAATTGCCTTGGCCAGTTAAAATTAATAT